CCCCCCCCCCCCCCCCCCTGTGTGGACGTCTTTTATGGATGTCCCCTAAGTATGTGTCAAGATGCAATTATTTTTTCATAGAGCTGATGTTCAAACTTATTATTACCATCAGATCACACTTGCAACTTCTTGCTTATATAAACCGGTTATCTAGAAGCTAGTCATGTGATAAGTTTATGCCTCTGATATTCGATCAGAAAAAAATGTCCATAAACAAAAATTTTGAAATATTCTTAATTTTAAAATACAGATGTGAAATGTCTGCATGAAATAAGTCGCCAATATATATGTAAAAAAAATATGTACTTTTCATAATTAGCTTTTGGTATAGCCCTTTTCTCAAAACAAATTCATAGAAGTCAAAGAAGATGAAATTAATTAACAGTGATTTCTGCAATGGCTGACTGTATAGCTGTCATAATATGATCTGATGTGCTTCTCTCTTGACAACACAGAGTCTGCTGAATCTTCTCGACCACATTTAGAAGGCAATCTGCTGTGAGGTCCTCAGATATGTTCAAGTCTGGGTACTGTTCAAGAACTGGTTTCAGAGCCTCAATCAATTTGTCTTGTAAAGACTTTAATTTTGAATCCAGCTCTTTGATTCTTGAATCTGATGCTTCATTTTGATGTACCAGTTTGATGACATCCAGTTCTTTGGCACTGACCTGGCTACGCTGAGAAGAAACCTTTGCTTCAAGTTCAACATTTGCACCTCTCAAAACTTGAATTTCTTCATCCACAGAATCATCTGTCAAGTCTGAAGTTAAGATTTAAAAAAAATTACGTTAAACTTTTTATTATAAGACACAAATTAATATGTGATGCAGTTATTTAAACCAGGATGCTTGTGACTATACAGCAGGATAGGAGCAGACAATTCATAGATGCATATCAAGTATGTTAAAAAATTGTCTCAGTGGTAAACCAGTGCATAGGGTCACAGATCAAGCCAGAACTATTAGTAAATATAATCTGATTATTTAATAGCTGGACTTCATACAGATATTACAAACACAGACACTTAAAGCTTTATTAAAATAATAAAATTAACTAAAATGTATTCAATACCACAAACAATTCCACAAAACTGCCCCAAACCTGCAAACTAACTATAGAGCAGTTTTCAAACTTTAAAAAAAGAAAAGAAAGATTTTTCTTCTTCTTCAAAATTAAGAATGTATTTTGCTGCACCCTAGAGCACTCTAGCCAGTTGAAACTACTGCATTATACCTTCACCAGCTTGTGCTTTTATCTGTAGTACTCTGAGTTCTTTAGGAGACAGCTGGGCACGCCTCATTGCTGCTGTAGCTCTGGGACACCCTGAAACACTGCGATGAGACTGGAAACTGCCATTTGAGTGACCTGAGCCATCACAGCCAATGATGGGGCAGCTGAAAGATTCATATTAATAGAAAGCTTGATATGGATATAAGTGTAACAGCACTAACATTAAACATAAAAGATATTAGGGTAGAGACTGCATTTAAACATAACATTTATTTTTTAAATATCGCAACTGCATGAATTAAATAATGGTAACTAAATTTTAAAGTAATTGTTTAGGTACTGAGAAGCCTTTAATATGCAAATATTCAATACATAGATATCAGATAAAATGTCACTTACAAAATGTTTTCTGACTTGCCATCCCAAGAAGAGTGGTCTATGTCTTGTATATCTATTGCTGGTACAGAAGATTTGGGTCCACGCAACTTGTTAGCTATTGGACAACCAGACGCACTGGAGAAAAATTAAGATAGTAACTCTACACACCCTAGAAACAATGTAAATGATCACTATAATTGAAAGGGCAATGGTGTCACTGATGCACTGAATTAATTTATTATCGATATTGTCATGAGAAACTTTTCAACCTTTCAAAGAAGGGTTAAAATACTTAAGATGACATATTTTTTCTCGTTAGATCTAATTTTAGCATGATGAAATTTTAATTTCATTCCTGTTTAAAGAATGTTCTCCTCTTAAGCTTATAAGCTTGAAAGGGAATGAAAACTTTTACTCCATTAACAACAATAAAGTTCCAGAGAAGAGACAATATTTTACAAATAATAAAACATAACTTGAAGAGGTGAAGAGAATTAACATGTTAGAAGTGCATTTCTGCCATTTCACAATTAGACTTTTCATTGTCAATTTTATGTGAAACATAAGTTGAATCATTGAAAAGGGGCAAGGGAGTAAGCCAATACATTTACTTTGAATTAAGACAATGAAAATATTTTAAAATGTGCCACTAAAAATAAT